GGGAGAGTGTTGCCTGGGAAAACGCGTTTAGTGGAGGGAGACGTGCGATGGGTGAAGTGAGGGCGGAAGGCTGTTGGAGAAATGAGATAAGTGAAGAGGAGGAGGCTGGGAGTGAGTGATAAAGAGAAGGAGAAGATCTATGGTGTAGAGGCTGATGGATAGAGAGAGAGAGAGGAGAGAGAGAGAGAGAGAGAGAGAGAGAGAGAGAACGAAGAGAGAAGAGAGAGAGAGAGAGAGAGAGAGAGAGAGACAGAAGCGGAGAGAGAGAGAGAGAGAGAGAGAGAGAGAGAGAGAGAGAGAGAGAGAGAGAGAGAGAGAGAGAGAGATAGAGAGAGAGAGAGGAGAGAAAGAGAGAGAGAGAGAGAGAGAAGACAAGAGAGAGAGGAGAGCAGAGAGAGAGAGATGAGAGAGAGAGAAGAAAGAACGTCGGCTCCATTTTAGATAATAAGCAGAGGCAGAATTAAATCGCGGTGATAATAAAAGATCCAATCAGATATAACGAAAATCAAAAAATTAGAGAACTCGCTGTTACGCTTGCCACCGAAAGGCGATGGGAGGAGAGGAGAAGGAGGAGAAAACGCGCTCTTGCTCTCTCTTGCGGCTGTTAAGAAAATCTCTCTGATCTGTCCTGTTCCCTGTCTCTCTCTGCTCTCTTTCNTATTTATATATATATTTATATATATTATTATATAAATACATAATATATATATATATATATATTTATATATATTTATATATATATATATATAAATACATAAATATATTATATATTTATATAATATATATATATATATATATATATATTATATATGTATATATATATGTATATGTATATGTATATGTATATGTATATGTATATGTATATGTATATGTATATGTATATATATATATATATATATATATATATATATATATACACATGTAGTTTATATGCATATGACACAAAACTGATATGTTTATGATATTAAGTATTCATATTTTCATATGCATATATTTATTCTTATATCATAAATATAGATGCTTGATTGTATAAATATTTTTCTATATATCAGTATGTGTACTTATTTGACATTTCAACATCTGCACTGGAATGTGATTATAAAGAAATAATCAACAAAGAATTCATATTCATAAAGATAATACTTAGGGGCAGGTCCAGAGAATTTTCTGGTGGGGGCACAGGAGTAGCCTAACAACAATTTTTGTAACCCAAAGTTACATAATTAAGGTTCCCACTTCAATATCTATATTGTACAGTAACACATTGTTTATGTTTTCATCTTGCTTTTCTTAGCTGCATTAAATCTGTGAAGTGTAGTGTTACCAAGCTTATGTTGGTAAAGAACTTGAGTCAATGACCATGGGGGGGGGGTGTTACATGGGTGGCTAATCAGTTTGCAGATCTCCCCCCCCCCCCCCCGTGCAACCATGAAAGCCCCGCCTCTGATAATACCTTTAACCCTAGTTGTATTAGGTGAAAAAAGTGTATAAAGAAACACCAACTAGAATTACCTTTTATTTTTTTCTCTGATGATGATATGACTGATATGATTTTGCATCCTAATGAATATGGGAAGCAGGAATATAAAACCATTTATTCATATGTTTTCAAGTATAAAAACAATGACAGGGTTTACAAATAACAGGCCAGAGGGCCCATAACTTACTTTTAGGCTATATACAGTTGGCCTGAGGCTGGGATTACTGACTGTACCCCAGGACATAGGTCTACACACTTTTATATACAAAATAGCACAATTAGCTGACTTAGAACTGAGATTTGGGCATCTCAGGTATTCCCACGCCACATTAAATAAACATACAGACACAAATACACAGGCGCAGCACATACCAAGGTATGCGTGGCAGGGCAGAGACTAGACATGTAGCCCTGGCCGGCACCAGGCTAAACACTTTAAAACCAACTTTGGTATATGAGCAGGTATCACGGGCCTTCTACACACCAGTTCGTAAACGAGTGATCCACAGGCGGTGGTGAGCAGGGTATTGGGGACGACAGTTCATCAGGGCCCCGTCATGACCGATATGTACGGATTACATCACGGATAACTGCACGACAGATAGGGCACTGACCACCTCCCCGACCACGCCACTGCTGCAATGCACACTCATAACACATGCACATATGACCACACATATACAAAACAGAATCCACTGGTTTCTCATAGCACACTGTGCACTCATGCAAGGCTTGACCACTCGGAAGATCTCCTAGTGATGACAGGGTAGAAGTAGCTGAAACTGGCTCCATATATGCTCCACTGTACACAGAAGACATAGTGCTGTGTCCACTTAAAGTGTCTGTGCGAGGATTTGGTACAGGGGGTACTGGTGTTGAATGACCATGAGATGTAGGCGGGGATGGTGGACTGGGTGGTAAACTCACAACAAGAGGTGAAGCACGAGGCAACTGTGAGTGAGAGACACGTCCAACTGGTTCTGGCCGGCGAGGAGGGGAGTTGGAGGCTGAAAGAAAAAA